TGAAATTTAAATCAAATAATATTTGTCAAAATAGTACTTGCAATTTGTGTAGTACTTCAATATCGAAATCTGAAAATATTATTGCAAAGATAATAATTACCTACCAAATATTTATGTGGGTTTGGATTACACAAGATTAAAAAAAAGAGTGTCTCTTGCTAGAGAGGTGTTTTTTAGACTTAAAAAAATCTGAAAAGCTAAAAAGATTAATGAGTCCCTTGCCATTAATTAGGCTTGTTTTGTTTTGATTATTCCAGAAAAGGAATAATAAGCTGTCTTGTTTTAAAAAAGCATGTATTTCTGTGTCTACCACCAGAAAATGCAGAGGTATGTAGGTTTATGTCCTGTCTGTGATTCAGAGACCCACAGAAAACATAAAACAAACACTGCTAAAGTATCACTCAAAACACTTTCTAAATTCTCAGGTCACTGGCTGGTTTAAATAACCAAGTCTTCGGAACAGAATCTCAAAAATCTCAGCGATACAGAGGAGTATGGTGATGATGGTGAAGGTGTACATTGCACTGAGGAAGATAGTCTTCTCAAAGTGTTCAGGGACCATACACTTCGAGATGTTGAAGATCTTTGCAAGGGCACTGACATCGCACATATAAATAGGATCAACCAGGAACCCAAAAAGGTGCCTCTGAAGCCAAAATGCTAAAACTTCCAGAATTATTCTCAACAGGACAGAGATGATGTAGAAGACTGTGGACATTGGCCGCTGAAGGATCTCATCCTGGTCTATATTTTTACAGGCAGCATAAAGATGAAACACAGCTCCAGGCACCAAGACAGTGACTAGCTGCAACGCCCAGAATACCTACAACAACAACAACAAAAAAAACAGCTTTTTTTTTTTCTTTTTCTGTCTTTAGGTTTGTTTTTGTTTTTTCACTTTTGTCATTTTGCCCAGTAGTATGGTTTTTATTCAAGTTTCCACCAAAGAATTACAAGAGATTATAGGCCATAACACATCTTCGCAATCAGCTTGTCATACTCACATAGTAGAAAACTTGAACAAATAGTTCACCCAAAAGTGAAAATACGCTGAAATGTTAGTCACCCTCATGCCATCCAAGATGTAGATGAGTTTATTTCTTCATTTGAATAAATTTTACAGTGAATGGGTGCCGTCAGAATGATAATTCAAACATCTGATAAAATCATCACAATAATCCATAAGTAATCCACTCCAGTCCATTAATTTTTTGTCTTGTGAATTGAAAATCTGAGTGTTTGTAATACTTGTGTGGTTTACTTGTGGATTATTGTGATGTTTTTAATCAGCTGTTTTGAGTCTCATTCTGATGGCACCCATTCACTGCAGAGGATCCAATGGTGAGACAGTGATGCAATGCTGAATTTCTCCAAATCAGGTTAATCGACCAAGAAACAAACTCATCTACATCTTGGAAGGCCTGAGGGTAAGTCAGTTTTCAGCAAATTTTCAATCAACTATTCCTTTAATTTATCTCAGCGGAAGTGACAGATAAGTAAGCTTCAAATCTTAACGTTACTAGGACAGCTTTTTTTTAAACATCTATGTTTTGATTATAGGATATCTGAAATAGTTTTTAAAGATACAGTAGGTTGCTAGATACCTCAACTCCAAATCTTACATGTTTAGTTTCATGTTTAGATTAGTGAAATGAATTAATAAAAAGCTGTTAGCTTTTTAGAATTTATCTTTAGTTTTTTCTTCCTAATTCTTCCTACAGCCATAGTCACTTTTGCCTGTCATTTCATGCATATTTTGATACCACAATAGCAGGTTATTAAATCGAAATATTTTCATGCACTTTTACCTGAGGTGTTATTGGCCTGAACTGGTTGTAACAGTAAAGGTTTATTTCCCTTTTGTCTGGATCACAGCTGAAGTGGAGGGCCTCATTGCCATAGACGGCGAATCCAAGGACTCCAAGGAAAAATGTACGCACAGAGCCAAAAAACAGCGTGTGGAACTGGCCTATCACTGTTGGAGGCCTGAGCTGAAATATGCAATGAAAAGATTATAACACACAAATGCAAGACCAGACATGCATCCACTAAAATCATGTTTATATTCAATTTTTCTAATTTTGCATATAAAGATAAAACTTTACATTACATACTTACACATCCTTCATAAAAGTTTTTGATGTAGTTTAATGACATATTTTGACTTCACAACTCTGCATCATTAACCTGTCACCATCATTGCCAGTCTTCTAACCTCAGGCAGAGGCAGATGGCAATTGTGAACCTCCAAATGACCTTTCGCTTTAGAAACCCCTTGTCAATGCATTCTCTTTTTATCCGCAGTGCCTTCATCAATTTACTCACTCAGTGCAAAAAACAAACAAACAAAAAAGAAAAATAACAAAGGCCACGGGACATGTGGTCAGCCCATAGGCTAATCCCTACTCTGTCAGCGAAAAAACAACTCTTGTATCTCATAATAGAACAGAGCAACCATGACAATTGCAATGAAATGCAATTGTATCACTGGGCAGATCACATAATGGAAAACAACAATTAACAAATAACACAAATTCCTGAGCAGAACTTAAACAGGCTATTCAAATCAATGTAATAAATGGCATTTAAAACAAGTGCATTCTGTAAAACAATGTCAAAGCAAAGGCTGGTTGAGTAATTTTATTTTAGGATTTTGAGACTCTTTAAGACACCTGTAGGCCTTACTGATATAGATGTAAATAGCTGTAAAAAAAAAAAAAAAAAATCTTTTTTCTTGATTTAATTTACTATATATGTAGCTATACATCTGTCTCAGATATTTGCGAATAGGCCTTCTAAACGTTTATCTAGACTTACCCGCAGTCTTTCTTCTCTAAAACTACAGCACGAGTAACGTTCTCACGGTAAGAAACATTTCACAAGCGTTAAATCGTCTATTAAAAGTGCACACACCAACCGTAATCCAGGCGGAGTGCTGTTCATCCCCCTTCTTAATCAGAACCGAGGTCCTGCTCTCATGTCACTGCGTCCCGAGGGAAAGACAGACCTGCTGGAAAAGCTGCATGTTGGGGGCGCCTTTCTGACGGCAAGCTTTTTCGAGTCATAAACCAAAGAGCAAACAGACAAACGAGGCATCAAAGAAACGTTGCAAAGAATAGATCATTATGGCCACAGAGATGCTAATTACCGAAATAAGAGTACTGGGGTCTGGCGGTCATACGGTCATTGCGCACGTGGTGCACACGCAAGCATAGCTGTCAAAGTGATGCTTCATATATGACCATGCTTGATTGTTTTGTTAGCTCACAAAGATTATGGCATAATGGATGACTCTATTATATGAGTTTATATTATTACCGCGATGCCGTTGCCGTGCTATAGATATGGGTTTGTCTGATTATAATGCTTTTGCATTATTTCTGAGAATAAAAAGTCATTGAAAATAAAAACACAATTTATTTTAAAATTAAAGTAAATGGGTAAATGACGTTTTCTATACATCTGATTCAAAACAAATTTAAAATGCAATTCTTTATCAATAAATGAAATACTTGAATACTTCTCTAATGAACGTGTTTTAAATTTCTTAATTAAAAGTCATTTTCAATCTCTGGAAATTGGGGGGTGGGGGTGGTTGGGGGGAAGAGAAAATGGTAGCATAAAGACTTTTTTTCTAAAAATGTGTCACATGCTATGTGCGTCAGTGCTGGTTTTGGATAATGGAGAAGGGAAACCATAAACAGCATATACCTACTGCAACTAGTTTAATTGCATTCTTCTCTAATTAGATTTTCTGTGTCCAATATTAACATGTTGCATCAAGAGCGTCTGAAAATACCAGCAGATGTCACTAAATCAACAGATGACCGCATGCAACCCAAGTCATCGGCGAATTATATCCATTTAGCCTATTACCAAAGGACACATTTACATCAGACAACATCTGTGTTGCGGTAAACATACACAGTTAGATAGAAATTAATTTGTTCGTAGGATGTGAGTCAAGGTGAGTAACCAGCCCAGATGAACTGCTAGAGACAGAGAACGAGTGGGGCATGTGATGCTTTTCATTCGTAGTCTGAAACCCATTCAGGTGCAAGACTTAGACCTATGTCAAGTTGAGAATTTGACTGTTCCCTTGGCTGATCTTAAACGGAGCAGAACTTACACCGCATCATTCCTGAATAAGTTTCTGAAAGTTTGAATTCAGCTTCTAACTGGCTACCGAGGCTTAAGTCTTTGTATTCATTTTGTATAGAGGCACCAAAGACGAGTTACACAGACCAAAAGCAAGAAGCAGTACAGACACGACCAGGATAAATTAGCTCTGAGACCAAGGCCAACTGAAAAATCCGATTTCAAGATCTGTCTGGACAAGGAACCTTTGACATCAGCACTTATAATCCATAAATGTCTGTTTGCAGTGTCTGCTTATTTTATCCCAATGGATGAGAAGGCAAACCTAAATGGAGGTTTCAATAAAAAGTCTCTTTATGTAATTCTTTGGTTACATTCTCCAGTGACACACGACACAATTCACAATAAGTGTTCTCCACGAGTTATGCGCCACATAACTTTGCAAGACTGGAGAATTTCCTTTTCTATTTCTTTTTCAAATACATGTTTTTCTACTCTAGTTGTCCAGACCCAGTTGATTTTCTGATTACGTATTTATTGCAATTCTTCCCTTAGCAAATCCCCCCTGCGAGTCAAAGAAAGAGCATGAAAGAGCTCCAGCCGAACCCCGATAAGGGAACGCGCGGACAAAAGCTGCACCTGACGAGTCCAGAAAGCACAATCCTAGTTTGCGCTACTGATGAGCGACCGCACCATATGATCACCATCATTCTTTCAGAGTTGGGGGTTCGTTTTATAGTTTTTCTCAGTCGCTTTGCTACATTTCTCGAATCATCCTTGACATTTGCAAAACCATAAGTGCATGTCTCAAAACAACTCGTACAAATAGCAAAACACCATGGATTACCTGCAAAAGCCAGTCTCTTGCTCAAAATCCTTAGTTCATCTCTCAAAAATAAATATCTGTGTCAATGAACATGTCAGTGCCATCAGAATGACAAGTCCTTGTGTCATTGTGTACGGATAAGACAGTCAAATTGCTTAGTCATGTTGTCAATATAACAGTGTACTCTGGAGGGATGTTCTGATGTAAACTATGGCTACAGTTTTGATGACAATTATTGTAAATTGTAGGTTACACCTTAGTGTATGTGGGAGTTTGATTGCAAGAGACTGGACAAGATTCACATTTATGCTTTTACTGTTTGTACTGTAATTTGTTGACAGACCATGTCATTGCGATACAGAAAGGAAAAGACAGCACTGCATAGCACAAAGAAAAAAAAAGAAAAAAACAAAAGTAGAAATGTGAACATAGGACAATCTCCTTAGGGAAAACTGTACATGCAGTGCTGTAGGAATTACAGTGCAGTCTTTCTACACCTCCTGACGTTCCGGTCTGTTGGGCCACAAATTCTCATCCACATCACAACGAATATCTTCTCTTGCGATGCAGCGTCGAAAGAATCTTTTAGAGTGTATTATCCAGCCTCTGCAGGCATCTCCTGTGATGTCATCACACGCTGCATCCATGGCAGCCAAAAGGGTCATCTGTGTATGTGGCTGGCGATCATATACTTTCCATCGCCATGCTGAGAAAAATTCCTCAATGGGGTTAAGGAATGGAGAGTAGGGTGAGAGGAACTCCATCAGCATCCTGTTGTGGGCTGCAAACCATTGCCTGATACAGAAAAGTGTCATTATCCAGCGTTTTTGTGAATGAGAAAATTAGAAATTTGAGAAAATTAGAAATTTAAAACAATACTATTCACTTTTGGATTTTTACTAGTATTCTAAAATACGTGTTATTAACATCAATACATAATAGTTTGTCTAAATAAATAAATGTTAAAATTGTTTGCCACAGGCTCCCCCTTTACTTGTTCCTGTCTGTCAAAGAAGCCAGTCAACTTTTAGGGACGTGGCTGAAGACATCGCTCATTTCAGCACTAAGTTTGGCGGACAGCACCTCTCTATCTCTCTCTCCTCAACTGGAAGCCGTTTCAACTCCTCTGCGTTCTAACCACTAAAACAAAATATGAATCACACTTTCTCTGAGGATACCTCAGTTTATGAGAACTTCACAGATGACTGGACATCAGATGGAGGGGAAACGGTGCATTTCATCATTCGATGCGTTATCCCGTCGGTCTACATACTTATCATTACGGTTGGTTTACTGGGCAACATTACTCTTGTGAAAATATTCATCACTACCAGCGCGATGCGAAGTGTACCAAACATTTTCATCTCCAGCCTGGCCGTGGGAGATCTTTTGCTTTTGGTCACTTGTGTACCAGTGGACGCGTTCAGGTATTTCTACGAGGAGTGGATTTTTGGAACGGTTGCTTGTAAGATGATCCCGGTGATCCAGCTCACCTCGGTCGGAGTCTCCGTGTTCACTCTCACGGCACTAAGCGCGGACAGGTAAAAAAAAAAACTGCCACATTCACTCAGGATCCGTGGTGAAGATGACAAATGTCCCCTCTGTTTCACATACTCTGTGTTATACTTCATTGTTGTGTCAGTGCTTGGGGGCCCCGGCTAAAGGTGATGACCTTTCCTAGTCTGATTTGTTGCTCTGTCTGTTTGTTGTTTGGAGCACCTGAAAGTTCATTTGTGTCACAGTGATTATGCCACCACCCTGGGGTCCAAGCAGTTCTCATTTATTGCTATTGATTTGTAGGCTGCATTAACAGTTCTGTTCCCCAAAATGACAATCGTGATGCAAAATGTAGTCAATGTTCAGCTACTTGTGATAATGAATTACCTGGCCAAAGGAATGAAGTCTAAAATTATAGATTTGAGGAAGGACGACAAGTGCATTGACGATTTCTAACGTCACCCAAACGATTGTTCTGAAGACTTAATCTGATTAGAACTTATTCAATACTCACTGTCATGCATGAAATACAATCAAGTTCATTTGCATGTCAGTCAGTTCATACTGTATTTTCAAATGGGACTTGTTTAGAAATCAATCTGTGATCGTGGCGCTCCCCAGCTAACTCATGCCTCAGGCAGGGCAGTCTGTTTTCATTGAAAGAGGAAAAAGCAAGCCCGGGGCAGTGAAACCTGGTAGAGGAGAGAAGTCAGGGCAAGGATGCTGTCATATGAGATTTCCATTTACTTTAGAGATGATGGCAGCAGAATGTCTAAAGGACACTGTCGAATAGATCAAAACGTGCCGGTTTGTCAATAGGAGAAAATAGACAATTTCCTTGGAACAAAAGCAACCAATTTTCCACCATGAATTTCCTCTATTGGTTTTTGTGTATTCTGTCTGTAGGCTTTGCAGCTCCAGCAGAATATCAGAAAGATGTGCACAGGAACTATCGTATTTCCTATACAGCTTTTCTTTCAGGAAAAAACATTAATCTAGAGATGAATCATTTATGACGTTGATCATGTAGTTTTAGACTTACTGCTGATCCCCAGTCTAAAGGTTGTTTAGGTTCAAGTATAGAGAAGTAACATATATGATAAAAAATTATATATATATATATATAATTTGTTACATTAATATATGTACAGCACAAAGCACATTGTAAATATATATAATTTCAAAAATATTTAAAATAAAATATTAAAAAATATATTAAAAAATATTTATATAAATATATAATACATTTCAAAAATATTCAACACTGATTTCACACTGTAATATTCTGAATTTATAATTCCAAAAATCTGTAGTGCCAAAGTAAAAAAAACAAACAAAAAAAACTGTTAGTTAGTCCCCAAGAACAATTTAATTATTCTTATCGCTTGAAAATTATCATTTGAAAGTGCCACAACCCTTGGAAATACTGCTGTTTGTTTAAATAAATAAATAAACATTAATGCAAATTTTCAGAGTGAGTAATTTCCGATTATGACTGTGCTGACAGAGTAGTCAAATTCTTCAAAGACTGTCACATAATAAGCTCATCCAATAAGAGAAATGTATCCCTGTATGATGACAGCAGTCATTTTAACAACATGGAATGAAACTGAATAAGATACTGAGTTGTAACACTTAAAACGCATAATCTCAAAACCGCTGTTTTAATAATAATGGGTCAAGTATAAACAGGCACACATTCTGGTGTGGACTAACCATAAACCTCAGCAGAGAATCAAATCTGACTTCAGATAAGAGCCCACAGTGTTGTTTTCCCTCAAGCAATGATAAATTGTTGATAAACAAAGCAATTTTCTCTCAACAGGCACAGCAATCTGTGTGCTGACAATTCTTCACATATGTTTCTCTTAGACACAAAGCTATTGTGAATCCCATGGACATCCAGACCTCCAGCGCAGTGTTCTGGACCTGCTTGAAGGCTATCACTATATGGGTTGTCTCAGTGCTGCTGGCTATCCCTGAGGCGGTCTTCTCGCAGGTGGTTCATATGCCAGACAAGAACATGACATTCACCGCTTGTGTGCCGTATCCACTCTCCAATGAGATGCATCCCAAGATTCACTCCATTATGATATTCCTTGTCTACTTCCTCATCCCTTTGAGCATTATCTCTGTTTACTACTACCACATTGCGAGGACACTTATCAAGAGTGCTCACGATATGCCAGGTGAGATTAGTGAGCACTCCAAAAGACAGGTAAGAGGTTCCAGGGGAAGGGCATAAAACTCACACCGCTGAATGCCAATATTCTGTGTTTGTCAAAATAAGTTCTTCTTTTAGCATTATCAATCAATCATGTTTTAAAGGGGTCATATGATGCGATTTCAATTTTTCCTTTCTCTTTGAAGTGTTACAAGCTCTTGGTGCATAAAGAAGATCTGTAAAGTTGCAAAGACTAAAGTCTCAAATCCAAAGAGATATTCTTTATAAAAGTTAAGAGTCAACCACACCTACCTAAAACGGCTCATTCTAACATGCCCCCACATGTCTACATCATGATGTGGGAAGATTTGCATAACACCGCCCAAATGTTCACGCAAAGAAGGCGTAACTTTTATTCTCGCTGTAGTATTGTTGCTGCCGCCATGTCGTGAACGTGTGTTTGTGTTCTGTGTGTTTTTCGTTGTGAAAGCGAAACTACTTTGTTTGGCCTTCCAAAAGAGGACGATATCC